TAACCTGTTCGTGATCAGGTTAGATTGGATTGAGTTTAAAAAAATTGCATGAACCTGACCCAACTCAACTTGGTAAATTTTGATTAGGTTGAGTAATGGATCCATCCAAACCCGGCCCAACCCGATTCGCTTATGCCCTTATTAAAAGTTGAATGGATAGTTAAAAGTATTAAAATAAAAAATTCAAGAAAAGAAATAAAAAAGAAAAAATGCTACCTTATAATTAAAAAGGATAAAAAAAATATATTATTTTATTTCATTCAAAATAATAATAAATAAATAAAGTGTTAATAAATACCTTAAAATTGTAAAAACAAAACATAGTTTAATAATATTATTAAAATTGATAAGGTTAAGAAATAATAATATATAAGAAAGATAGAAATAGAGATATGGGAAATGGATAGGGAGAGAGAATGAGAGAGAAAAGTGGAAGAGGGAGAGGGGGAGTGAGAGTGACAATGAGAGAGAGATAGAAAATAGAGAAATAGAATGAGAGAGATATTTTAGAAAGATGAAACTCAACTGTATATTTTCTATTTTGAAAAGGGATATTGTGATCTTTTATATCAGGACAACTTTCCCTCATAGTTGGTAAAATTAGATTCCAAACTCCTTTATGAAAATGTTTTTGTGAGAAAGTAGGATAGAAATGATTCCTCAATAATAATATTTTTTGGAAATATATATTTTTTAAATAGATATTAAACATGGAAAATTAATATTCTTAATCTAAGATTCCCAAGAAGCTAAAAATTTCTCTCTTACCAAAGGTCGCCTTAGGGTTTAAAAATTGAGGTGCATGACTTTACCCTTCCTCTTCTCTATTATTAATAAGACTTCGGATTGGATTTAAGAGTTCAAATCCAAAAATTTTCCAGAAGCCCATAGTCTATTTTTATTTTATTTAATAAAAACATTTACTACTTATATTATAAGCTTTATTAATAAATTAATTAAACTTATAATAAAAATATTATTAAAATATTTTATTTTATTTTTTAAAATAAAAAATGTTATAAGAACCATCCATTCAACATTGACAAACTTTATGAATAGTCATCAACATTAACTAGCTCTAGTGAACTTTGTGAACATCTAATTTTATTTAGTCTTTATTATTTTTTTCTTTCTTCTATGATGAGTTGCAGGTCATCTTCTTCCCTCAAAGGTCTAGCAAAGTATAACAGTTTGGATACACCAAAATGAGAGGAGTATAAAGATTTGTATACATGTATGAAATTGTATAATTAAGGATTACTTAAAGTATTTAATTTGTACTACATATATCAATAAAATGTATTTACTTTTTGGCAACTTATCACTTAAAAACTCCACAGTTAAGAGTGTTTCACTTAGAATTATTTAGGGATAGTGACCTTCTAAAATATTTTTTAGAAAGTGTGCAAATAAGAATAAAACACATTAAATTTTTTTGTGTTGATTTGTGAGGATAATTGTTGACCCTAAAGACAGTTGGGCATTTTAGAAATAACTACCACATATGGTTTTGACAGATAAATGGTTATAATCAATGGAGTGTTATCTGAAATCTCGTTGAAACATCAATTTTTAGAGGTTTTACATAACTGATATGGTTTAAGCACAACTATGTTATTAGGATGCTAAAAACACATATAAAATGAGCTTCATTAATTAATTAATTAATTAATTTCAATATTAGGGATTTTAATCCATTACTTTAATTATTAATAAAACATTTCTTTATATTATACTTTAATTATTTTAATCATTTATTATTTATTTTAAAAAAATGGGATGTTATAGTTTAAAATAGAATTTTTTTAGTTCTTATACTTATTTTTTTTTCAATTTTTTTAGTCTCTATAGTTTAAAATAGATATTTTTAATCCCTATATATATATATATATATATATATATATATTTGTTTTTTAAAATTATTTTAGTCCTTGTCATTAATTTTTTTATAATGTTATTTCTTTTACGTTGACGTGACAAAGATGTTAATTCAACTTTGTGTATGATGTGTTTATTTTTTTTAAGTTACTTTAAATTATATCTTTCAATATTTTGTGTCTTTTTTGTACTCTCACTTGCAACGCATGTGTTGAAGCACCCTATTTTACCATCATAAAATTGAAAACATATATTATATATATCAGTACAAAATAAACAATGTTACAAAAAAAAAATTGACAATTAGGGACCAAATAGATTAAAAAACTACTAGTACATTGACTAAAAAATCTATCTTAAATTATAGAAACTAAAAAAGGTTGAAAAATATAACTACATGAACTAAAAATATCTATTTTAAGTTATAAGAACTAAAAGATAAAATAAAATTATAAGACTAAAAAAGTATTTAACTCGTATAGTATTATATAAAGTTGTTAATATTGAAGTGGTTTTTTCTTCTAAAACATTTTGCCCAAAAGATAGACAAGTTAGTCATTTTACTCGGTCAAAATAAGGTAATTAATTGCATTGTTTAGGTTCTCATTTTTTTTTACTTTCTTTAGAGTAATTAAGAAAATTACGTAAAAATTAAATAAAAAATTACATTTAAGGGAAATTATTTAAAAAAAAAAACTGAATATATAACAATAATAGAATATTTAATTAATTATGCTATAAAAATGTGACAAAAATTTATGGATAAAATATATATCTTATTATATATAATTATTAATATTGAAACAATTTTTCTCTCAAAATTTTTTCGGTCGAATGGTGGATAATTTAGTCAAAACAAAGGTAATTGACTACTTTGTATAAGATAATTCAAAATATTTCATAAAATTTTGTTATATAAAGTTGTTAACGATTTAAAAAAAAAATCAAAAAATTTGTTTATTAAAAGGTAGAAAATTTATTTCTTTTTATGTTGGCTCAAAGCAAAGGTAATCAACGTTTTTGTTTAGTATAATTAAAATAATTTTATAAAATTAATTAAAGACTTCATTTAAGGATAATTAATTTTTTCAAGAAAACTTAAAATGCACCTATGATAGAATATCTAATTAAAATTTGTTATAAAAAATATAGTATAACATTTTGGAGGAATATATCTTATTATCTTAATATATAAAATTTTTAGTTGGAACAATTTTTCTCTCCAAAAAAAGTTCATCTAAATGGTGGATAATTTGGTCATCCAAAAAATGTGTAATTAATTATTTGATTAGGAAGATTCAAAATATTTCAAAAGCAATTATTATATAAAGTTTTTGACGTTGGGACAATCTCGTCCCTCCAAAAGTTTGCTCAAAAGTGGACAATTTAGTCATTTTTCACTAACACAAAATAAGAATAGTTAATTTATTTATTTAGCGTGATTCACAATATTTCGTAAAAATAAGTAATGACTACATTGAAGGATAATTAATTTTTTTCAGAAAATGTAATATACAGTAATAAACACTAATTTATTTAAAATTATTATAAAATGTATTAAACATTTATTAAAAATATATCTTACCGGATGTATTGATTAGAATTTTAATTGATTTTAAAAGATTTTCTTATCATAAAAATTCTTGTGGTACTCAATCAAGAATTTTTTTAATATAAAAAGTTATATGATATTCAATTAAGAAAATCAGGATTTTTTTAATAGTTTATCAAAATTTGGTGGTATTCAATTAAGATAATTAAAATTTTTTAGAAGTTCATCAAAATTTGGTGCTATTCAATTAATATATTTTTTACTTAATAAAAGTTTGTTAGTATTTAAAAATATAAAGATTTCAATGAATTATTTTAAATATTGAATATTATGAGACTTTTTAGTATAATTTACATATAATTCACTCATCAAACAATATCACAAAAATCTTTGAGATCTCACATGACTTTTCTCTTGCATTTCTTACTTCTTTCTTATATTCTTTTCTTTTTTCTCTCCTCTCTCATCATTCTTGCTTGTCTTTCTTCTTTTCTTTTCTTCTCTATCTCGTTTTTTTATTCATCTTCCTCATTTATTTCATCCTTTCATATATTTATTTCTTTCTCTTTCTCTGTTGTCTTTCTTGCTACTTTTTTTTCTTCTCTTTCTTTCTTCTTCATCTCTTTTTCTCTTTCTTGTTTCTTTTATTCTTTTCTCATTTATCTGTTCTTCTTAATCTATCTTTATATATATATATATATATTTTAGTCCTTGTC